TATTTCTTTAATACAGTTGTAAATATCATTAGGAAATAAAAACATTTTGAGTTAAACTAATAAGTCTATATAGTTTAATGATCCGTTCATTAGATTTATCTTTATTCGAAGATATTTTAATCAAATAAATTTTTAATCCTATCTGCTTTTTATTCGAGTAAATTTGTCGTGTAAATACATGAATATTACAACACATGCCCATGAAACCTAAGTGGCAAGGTAAATTTATCTCGTGAGGTACGCTTGTCATTTAGAAATAAATTGTTGGGTTTTCAGGTCATAGCTGTTGTGTCACAAGTCTGCGTAATGTCATCCACTTCCAATCCAGTTAGTTCAAAATGCATGAAAATTACCTTTGAATAGCTTCTATTGCATTCGGTATATATTATATTAAATTTTAATATATACGGCTTTGTTGATAGTTCATTATCTAATTTTTTAATACTTTCATATTTATCCAATTTTTATTAGTAGCTGCTATTAATCCAGTAAAGTTAGAGAGAAAAAATAGCCTTGCTCCTACATTAAAAAAAATTAAGATGTAACCTTTCAGAAATTGTTTATTACTCTTCTCATAATAATTTTTAAAAAGTCCTAAAGAATCCCGCGTCGTCTTTTAATGGGGGAAAGGTCAGAAAAATGATATTTTCTTAAGAATATCTCAAAAACTATGATTTTTTTTCGCTGATTGTTTTCGAGATTGTTGAGTATAATGTTGAAGTACTTTAAAATATCTATAAAAATGATCCTATACTTTTTTTGATAAAATCAATAGTTACGGAGATATTTATAAGATTATCTTTATTGTAGGTCAAGTTTCATTTTTATTTTTTGAATATTGGAATCAATTCCTAATTTTACTATATTATATTTGAAACAGTTAATTATTTCAAATAAATAAAAGGAACTTTAAAGGAAGAAGCTCTATCAGACAATTTCAGTATTATACTTACTGATAATTAAAAACCATTTAATTATACATTTGTATACGAGGTTGACTGTTTTAGAATAAATTGTAAGGGTATGTTAATTCGGTTATATAAGATACCACTTCCGGTTAGTCGATATAAAGGAAAAAGATGTGATTTCTGAGGCTTATGGTACAACTTCCTTATCTTTGTAATTTTTCGTTTTTAGCTAGGATGTTCATACACATACCAGTTTGCGAGACTTGGTTATTTGAACTTCGTCAAAACTTTTATTTCCTTGAAATGACGGGTGAGGGTGTCAATTTATTTTTTTCATTTTATTGTATAAATGCTTGATACATTAAATAATAATTAAAAAAAGAAAAAAATATTAGTCTTTTTGAATGTGTTAAAACGTTGCCTTAATCCAAGAATTTATTTCGCTTTTTCGCATGCCACTAGGATTATTCTTGAGAAAGATGGAGGAGAAAAAATGGCGAGTGCAACATAATGCGGAATTGCTCGATCTGGTACTTTAAAATATTTTTATTTTAATAAAAAATAAATTTAAATTGTTTTATCATATTGTAATTATTATGATGATTCGAATTACAATAATACCATGATACTGAATTAATAATTGGCTGGCTTAGATACATTGAGGATAAGTGGGTTGGAGTATTCAAACAATCGAAGAAATAAAATAAATATGTAGATTATATTTATTTTTGCCGACGTTTCGGCCCAAGCTTTAGACATGGTACATATCTAATATTAATATTAATACATATGTGGAAAGTTATATATATATATATATATATATATATATATATATATATATATATATATATATATATATAGATATAGATATAGATATAGATATAGATATAGATATAGATATAGATATAGATATATATATATATTTCCACATATTTATTAATGTTAAGTTTACTCTACCAATATATTATATTATTAGACTATAACTAACTAGAATATAACTAAACCAACTTCTCTTCAATACAACAATACCATTTTTAAAATTTAACAATATTAAAGAGCATTTATCGATTTTTAGGATATACTTACTATACACCTGATCCTCTTAATGAACAGTTGACTAAATGAATAGAACTATGAATGACTAGTAAAAAAAATATGCACTACCCGTTAAAAAACTCGAACGTTCATATCTTTTAACTTTTAGAGTATAGATCGTTATGGCAGCCACATCCTCAATTAAAAAAAATGAATTAAATGTTTAATTTCCACTTTATGTTTATTGGTACCTTCTCTTCGACGATATTTGCTGACCACTACCTTGGCGATTACAATACGCCTTAGGTCGGATTGGAGACTGCCGCTCCCACGCAGATTGGCCGAAATGGTCCTCAATGTAACCAGTTACATTATGCATTCCCCTGAAGGCCTGTCCGGGCACATCCTCCCCATCTCATCTGGGCTCCTCCTCACGTCCTCCCTTCGGTTGGAGTAATCTTCTCCCATTGCCCACTTTTCCATTCTCTCTTGAATGCCGTGACCGTCGCCTGTCTAGACTATCAGGAAATTTTCATAACAGGTCGTCTCATTATATTAAATGGGAACGCTACTTGTTAAGAAGTCAGCATATAATTCTGCTCATTATTGTAATAGTATGACCAAACCGGAGTGTACCATTTTACTAACTACAATATTTTTTTTATGAAAAGGAGTTGGTCGTGTGTGCGGTCAAATAAATACCAAGTTTTTAAAATAGTATTTATTTGACCGCATCCCCCGATCAAATCCTCATAATATATCACGGTCACCCATCTTTACATCAATACTTTTTTAGTTAGAGCTTGGTAATTAATATTAAGTATCCTTAATAATACATTTGCAATTGATAGTTATCAACATGGAAGATATATCTATACAAAATATTGATTTTAGATGCGACAAATTCTCACCCAGACGGATTTAGAACTTTAACAATTGCCATTTACTGTAGTTGGAAACAAAATTTAAAAAAAAAATTAAATTAATAATTTTAATAAAAAAGTTTGGATATTTTTGAAAATGTTAACAAGAAAATAACTAGCTTACAAATTTAAGTATCCTTATTTTGATAATTAAGAAAGCACATTTTAAATATTAAATTAAAATTAATTATGTTGAATCTAATTATCTATAAATGATAGATTAATTTATTTATAATATTCCGTGCTACAGACTCCTTTTTATCAAAGTATTAACATCCGCCTGAAACTTTTTAAATAGCTTCATCTCACCGTAACCTACAAATATTTAATGTGAGAAAATTATCGGAATTGAGGAGTTTTCAATCTAGAGATGGGCAAACATAGTCTATTTAATTAGGGACTAAAATCTCATGAATACTCATTTGGTTTCCACTTGAATCGTAAGATAATATGATCACAAAATATAAAAAAGGAAGGTTGCCTACGAAATTATTGGACCGTTCGGCGTGACCTCCACCCAAAAAATTCAAAATTACGAGGTAATATAGGCCAAACGGTCCAATATTGTAAGCCACTTTTTTTTTTTTTATGGTCCTGTTATCTTACAATTGAAGAGCAAATAGGCATTCAGGAGTTTTTAGTATGTAATTAAATAGACAAAGTGTACCAATTTCCAAATTAAAAACGCTCCAATTCCGAACATTTTCCCAAATAAAATATTTGTAGGTTACGATGAGATTAGAAGATATTTATGAAATTTCTGGCGGATGTTAATAAATTCATAAAAAGGGGTACCACAGACTATAATTCTGTCAAATAATACTTAATATTAATTCACATAATTATAAATATATAATATTCTACATAATTTTTTTCATTTTCTTTATAACAATTAGAAACTGCTGGTCAGTACAGACCTGTTCTTTTATCAGTGTGGTCTCTAATGTATTAAACTGTATTTATGTATGGTCTTAATGTTTGTATTGTGTTCAAAATAATGTTACAGTTTCTCTTCAAGTGTGTTTTGTAGGTACGAAAAAATTACTTATGTTACATTTCCGAATTATTATTATTATCTAATCTTGAGAACGGAGAACATGACTTCTGTAAATAAAATCTTTAGTTGTTTAGTTTAATTTTAACATATCCCGCCAAAAAAGGCGATTTTTTTCATGTGAAATAATTATCGCTTTCCATACATACATATGCATACAATGCTAACTTGAAGTAATTTATTAAAATTTGAAGGCTGGGAAGTTTTCTCACAAAACTTTGACTTTGTTCAGTTGGCCGTGATCGTTTGGAAAGTCCAGTACTCCGTTTACCTTCTCGTTTCTGCGTCATTATTTCATTAATAATGGCTCTGTTGAATTTGTATATTTTCTTGTTAATTATTTAGTGACCGGCCGGTTTCCAAGAGAGTAGATTTTGAAATGGCCTGATGATGGCTTTTTTAATCGAAAGCTATCACTCATGGCTCATAGATGGAATCCACCGTTCTGTTCCAAAATAAGTTCCATTCTTGTGACATGTACTTGGTATTTTCATTCTTAAGTAGTAATTGTTAAACGTCACAATGAGTTGCGTGCTGGGAAGTCAAGTCGATTTATGTGGAATATCTTTTCTACTACAACTCGTCAGAAGCAAAAGAAGGTATTGGTGTTTTATTTAATATTCGATACGAATTATCTGAAAGATAAGAGTGTAATCATTCTTGTTATAAAAGTATTTTAACTAGTTTGCAATGTAGTGGATTAGAGGATGACATTTTGAATGACCGACACTCGTCATGGAATGATTTTGCCGGTTTATACTTTAAAAAAAAAAAAAACTGGTAGAATATCAAAATTCGAAATGTCTATAAGTCTGCAGAAATTAATTCACTTCTTTGAAAGTTTTTATTCACCCTTATTAATAAATATTTTAACTTAAATTTTGCTCGCCATGTTTATTGCTGTCACATAATGATCCAGTGTTGATATTTTCCGTATTTCCCATGACTCATTTATTAATAAGCACATCTTGATGAAAGGAAGTTTCCTACTTAATAATATTTGTTATTTGTTTATGCTAGATTACAAATTAACATTCTATTATTAAATGTTTCTAATAACATACTTTTTTTTTCTTCCAGGGACCGATCCGTGAAGCAAGACGATGGGATTTCTACAACCTCGAGGTACTAAATATCTAATTTAAATGGTATTCAAAATTATTGTAATTATGAAACATAAATAAATTGAATACTGCAAGGTGGCCTCGAAAAATTCGCATAGTATTTCGGCCAGTCTTCAAATTATTATATAATATGAAAATGAATTAACGCAGACATTTAATAACGAATGCATTTTATATGAAAAAGCAATAATTAATATTAGTTGTAAAAGTTATCATTTTATACCGGATTTAAATGTGTTTATGTCAAGCTTTATAAACGTAATCATATTTTCACAAATATGGAACTAATTTTGAACAATGCACGTTAGAATAGAAAACTGAAAACAAAATAATAATAAAATTATTTCTTTTTTACAACCTTGCCTATAGTTCGAACTATAAAAAGATTTGTGAAGAAGAAATAAAAAATAATGAAGAAAGGTTCGGAAAAATGTCTTTTAAAATGACAAAACTTACATATAAATTAGCATTTAAAATTGCTTAATAATTTGAGAGATCGGATTATAAGTAAAATGACACAAAATATGTTCATGTATATATATATTTATTTTTTAATGTTATTGCGATAATAGAAAATATATAAGATGTTGCATGGGGGAAGAGAGGTTAAAATTTTCCGACATTTCCATTAGTTGCAACAAAATATCATAATGTCATAATGTCAACAGTCAAAATAAAATTTCTGAACATTTTTAATTTGATGAACATTTTATTTAATATGTTTACTGAATTTGGTAACATGGCATGTAAAACATTAAGAGAAACTACCCTTTGGTAGCACTCCAAATTTTTTCATTTGAATTTTTTTCCCTGTTTCTTACTTTGACACTTAACTTTCTTAAACTTTCAACCATTGGAAACATCTCTGGGTTTTCATTGGAATATTCAAGAATATCTTTCAATTCAAGGATTTTAGAAGTTAATTAAACTAGACTTTTATTTATTTGTCGAGAAAGTTCTCTTTGTACACGTCTCGTTCATACGATCTGATAAATTCTGAATATTAAAATTAGATATGTTGATTTATCAACAATGTATTTATAATAGCCTGATTAACATTACTATTTTGACGCATTCCTCTTCATCAACACCTTTAACCACCTAATAAAGCTCTGAACTTTTCTTATTAAAACAGCTTGTGTACAAAGACATGAAGTATAGTAAGATTCCAAACTTTATATTAGCTAAAAGCCGTCTCCTGTTTGATTCTTATAAATTAGTTACGAAGTTGGTACGATTATTTATTCATTTATTGGTTTATTATTTTCAATAATCAACCATTGTGATCGACTAAAAAATTCAAAAACTTAACTCCTTTTCAAAATTTGAGGTTTCACGTTTCATCAGGATGCGTAGAATTCGAAAAACGAATAAAAAAGTTTTTGTCCGTCCGCCATCCGCGCATTTTCTCCGAAACTACTGGACCGATTTTTGTCAAATTGGAAAATAAAATCAGAGGTCACCCGAGGATGATCCTCCTTCATCGACATTACTATCTGCCTTTTACTTTCAAAATGGCGGCCGTAAAACCTCCGTTGCTATAGACTGTAGCTCCTAAACGAATGTACCGATTTCAATGAAACTTCGCTAAAGTCATTTTCTTGACGCCCTTTAAATTTACCTATATAACATACTTCAACGAAAAGGAGCTGGAAAAAATATTACGATGGATTATAAAATTTAATTCCGAATAACTCAAAAAGTATACACTTCTTTGTCGATATTGTATGTTTTTTTTTTAAGTTTACGGAATTTCCTAAAAAAAAAAAAAAAATCATTAAAATCGGATAATTAAGAGCAAAGATATTGTCTCCAGTTTTTTGTAATATGTGCTACTCCAAATGTTATATCCTTTGTTTGGTTTTTAAATTCTAAATGGGTTACTGAAGTAATGCTATATTTTTTTAGCCTATTACTAATGAATAAAAAAAATTTAGTCCAATAATTGGAATCATTTTTTATTTATTTTTCTTTGTAACTATGAAAGTAATTTTACTTCAGTTGTATAATTATTTGGAAATAAAAAACCATTGTAAAATAATTTGCAGCGTTTTTTTTTAAATAACGTCGTATAGAAAATTTAGTGATTTTTTGTATTTTTACCTAAAATTTCTATAATTTATAAATTAATAACCATATGTCGTGTAAGTGATCTCATTCAATTAAAGAAACAAAAAACTTTTTTTGCAGATGTCCTGCGCCCCCGTATCCTCTGAGGGAGGTTTGTCCCTCGAAAATCAGACGGACTGCATATTTCGATTCTTCTAACAAGACATGGTTACGTGCAAAATGCTGTAGAAGTTCAAATTTACTGTTATATTTGATCTATTTGTCCTGTACTATTAATATTTATTCGGTCCCAAGTTCAAAATCCCGTTAGTAAAAGTGATTTATATAAAATACACTTGTTCCGACGATAATTCGGTTGTGAAAGTACGCTAACGGTCTGTTGGTTTCTACTGGAGCTTTTGGTTTCAAGTGGACTTGAAACTGTAATTTGAACTATTACTTTCTTGTTACTGAAATAGCACTTATAACATGCATCAAATCTTTATAACGGATAATTTATATAGAATAGAAAAATAACGTTATTCTGAGACAATGTCCCTAAGAATATCAAAGTTGTGCATAAAAGTAAAGGATTACTTCTGACCAAAAGATTTGTTACATCAATATAATTAGGATGCGATACATTGACTGTAGATATGTCGTATGCGATAGGGCAAAAAGCCTTGTCCCTATGAACTTGGCCCTGATGAATTGGAAATTCGGTAATGTTTGGTCAATGTTGCTGGGACTACTAGTGTTGACCATTCCCTTCTGGGTAGAACCACTTTACCGGCCCGCTCAGCTGTGAAGGCTTCCCACGTCTTCTTGTTAAAATAGTCTAACGTGAACTATAAAAATAATACAATTGCTTTACAACTTATCAGTGCTATCATTTCACCGGAATGAACTATTTTTCTCTATGACTAAAAAAAAAAATCTTGTGCTCGCAACACACAACTTTCACTTATCTCTCTACTTCGAATATAAATTATTTTCTGGTAATGTTGAGCAATTATAACATTTTTGAAGCGCACTTTTAACGGAGCTACATCTTAAAGCTTACAGCTAAGAAATGATTAAGACCACTAAAATAACAAAAACCCTGTTAATTCAACAGTAAAAACCTTGGTACTCCATCAGTTTTTGTAAACCACATAACTCTAGTCTCTGAGCTATATGTATATGTAGATATATATTTATATGCCAAGAGAGATTTGAGAGTATATATATGTGAGTATATTAAACTTATAAATGATTATGAATTGTACGCCTATTAGTTATTAAACTGTTATTTTCCATTGTAAAGATCTCTAAAATGAAATTGCGAGATTTTCATCGCCTGCCGTAGATAGATCGAAAGTTGTCATACTAATTTTAAGTGGATAATATTTGGATTTCACAAAGAGAAAATTATTCAAATTATTCCCTAATTTAATTTTTTAAAAAGTCACATGACGATTTTTCGGAATAAACGGACGGTGGAATTTAATTATAATATCAGATCTAGAATTATTAAACTACAGTAAATTTATTTAAGTTATAAACATATGCTTTTTACATCTATGAAATATTTTCGCATTTCACTTCTTTTTTCACAAAAGTACTATGAAATCATTTTTTTGACAATGCCATTTCCTTGATTAGGTGTATTTTAAATACTTTTTCAAACTTAAAAAAAAAAATTACATTTAGTTTTAAAGTTCATTTAATTTTCCTGAAGTCCCCACTGGATTTAGTACCAGTGATGGGGTTGAGAGAGTAGCGCAGGGTTCTCCTGGAGTTCCCTCGCCTGATTGTAATTAGTGTATATAGGTATGCATGTGTTTTTTGCTTAGTTTTAATTTTCTTGTTTTTAGGTTATTTTATTTTATTATTTATTGTATATATTTTTGATTATTATTTTGCTTTTATTTATTTTATATTTTTGTACATATAGTGTGAATGTTATACTACCTCACTATAACTAATGTCGAAGAGACAGATTGTTGTAATACTCAAAAAAAAAATTCTTTGAAAACATGGGATTTCCGTTAAATAATATCACAAATTATTATTTATAATTTTTCGTCACTCGCCATTACTTTCTATATTAGATATTGTTTTTTTCCAAAATTTTCCGCTTTACAACGATATATTATACGTATCTGACTAGTATTTCCGAAAATTTATTTTCGACTTAAATAAACATTTTACCTTTTTTATCCATTTTACAATTATCAAATTCTTTCAAAAGTTATGTTTAATATTTTTTTGTAACTCGTAATAATGAGAGATATGTAATTATTTAATTTAAACCAAATTAAAGGTACTTTAGCGGAAGACATGTTGAACATTTAAGTATTAATTATAGTTCTGTGAAGTGATATATTTCGCCACCGTATATCAAAACTGGCTTTGTCATTGCATTTTACCCCCTTAATTTGAAATATCTTGAGTTTTTTCGGGGTTTCAATAACCTTATTTGAAATAAAGAAAAAGCTCTGTTTGCGCAAGTTATACGCTGGTATTTTCTTTTTTTTTTTTATTTATCCAGGTCATTCATTGAGTTTATATTAAAACCGAATAATTTGAATTTGTCTTCTAAGAAACGATTGAAGTGAAAAATATTTATTCAGATTAAATTTTACGTCGTAGGATTTATTTTTTACTCATGAGTTTTGATTTTGTTGTAAATTCTGTTGGCCTTTACCAATGAAACTTTCTTGAATGAAGTCTTTTCAAAATATCTTTCTCTTCACAGAATATCTCTCCCGAATTCATGTCTCTTTTAAATTTCTCATTTTAATTGTATTTACCAAAAATCGAGCCAATATATTTTGATGCCTTCAAAGCTAAAAATAAAATGATTTCTCCTCTGCTTGTAATTTTTCTTTTTATAAAAAAACTGATCGAAACCTGAATAGGTACTTATCCAAATGTTTACATTGAACTCTTGGACACAGACTGAATTTC